GCTTAATGATTAATTAGATGGAACATTGTGGGTGTGGTGTATGAATGTTAACACTTTGTAATAATTCTTTAGTATATTACTTGTGTGGTGTAGAAGATAATTATTTAAGAATGTAATTATGTAAGAATGTTAACACTCTGTTATAATTTTTTTAGTATATTACTTGTGTGGTGTAGAAGAGAATTATTTATGTAGAGATACTGCTTGTAAACCAATGATGGTAAGATGATGTCATGGGGTAGGACTGGATAAGTCTGACTTCTTCCTACTCCATTCAAGCATGTACTAGGTATAAGCAAATTGATATTGGATTGTGTGTAAAAATGTGTGTTGTTATATCAACTGTTTTATATGCTTGAAAGAATAAATCAAATCAAATCAAATTAAATCAAATCTTCTTCTTCTTTCATGTTTTATAACAGCTGGCATCCTTTATTTTGTAATACTGCAGCATCCATTCCTTTTAAATCTGTACAGTACATATAGCCCAGTGGTATGGGTCTCTATAGCAAATTCATACCTGACATGGCCACCTGATCTTCATATCTGGAGCAAAGGAAGTATAAATGCACCAGATATTTTTCTGTTTTTTAGGTCTTAGCTTATAAACCTTATTTATACAATTATTGTAATAAAGCACATTCTTGCATAATATACTGCTGTGTAAACTTTAAGTAACTCAATTTATAATTCAAGATATAAAAGCAATAATCATATGTCATACTTAAATAGCACACTTTATTGTTGTTATAAAACAAAGTGCCAGAAAAAGAAATTTATCCACTGTCACAATTTGTACTCACTACTCATGAAGGACTTGGGTTAATCAGTAGTCAGAGTGGACACTTAAATGTGATGCAAAAGTTACAAGTGCCTGGAGTTATAAAGATAATTTTCATCCAGTCTGAACATGGATTTACAAAATACCAGGATGTAAATTTATATTTAACATGTGGAAAAAAACATCTAACATTTTAGCAAGGCACAAACCCCATTACTGTGCCTGCCCCTCATTGCTTGCAGCACTGCAACATTCCTGGAGCCCACCTGCTTGATTACAAGCCAAACTGAACCACCTGATGGCAACCCTTTTTATTCCATTCACCCCTTCCAGTTCATTTTATATATAATTGTTTTTTGAGACACTGCAGGCGTGCCAGAACATTCCATGTCACTCTCTGTGCCATGACATCCAACAGATGACCACACAAAAATCTAGGCGAAAGGACTAAGGATACAAAATCAACAAAAATGTATTACTACAAAGTTTGTACTACAGCTAATGTTATCTGTTGCCATACCCAGAATGCAAAAAATTAAAAGATTCAGCTTTTTTCTGGGACCTTCTGGATTGTGGAGCCAGTTTTCAAACTCCTCCACTTCTTCACTCCTGTCCAAGGAAACCGGAACTCTTCTGGCATTTCACAAGGGACTGGAGGGGTGGTTCTTATTCTGACACTTGCAGCTAGCAACAGAATATGAAGTTCTGGGGATAAACAAATGTAAAAAATACAAAAAGATGTTAAATGTGCAAATATCTACACAGTATGATCTGAGCTTTTATGAAACAATGTAAAATGAATGTGTGCTGTGGGTAGGGACCGAAAGAATAAGATCATGAATACAAGTGGCTGAAATGAGTTTCCTTCGTGGGGTGGCTGGACTCACCCTTAGAGATAAGGTGCTTCCCTATCACAGTGTTGACAGATACAGTAATAAGGAATGTGAACCCCTTGCTCATTCACAAAAGATTCAAAATCATAAAAGATCCACTCCAAGTTCTTCCTCAGGTTTTAGGTGCTGAATAAAGCATTTGTGCCGTGGCTCATTAGTGCCCGCCTTTTTCTTGTGCACACCCCCTCTAATTTTCAATGAACACACCTGGTTTGGATTTCTGTTTCCAGCGGGAACACTCACATCATGCCGACTAAATTTACGTACAGTGTGAGCAGTGATGTCGCAGATTCTGGCCATGTGGGAGGGCCAATTAACACATATAGTGTGAGTTAACAATCAATCTAAGTTGTGGTGGTTCTTTATATAATCAAACCAGTGCGAGAAAAGGGTGACAAAAAAGAGGAATAAAATACAAGTATTCCACAGCTAGTCATTGAATTTTTAATTGTATTGTGATTGAATTAAATCATACACACCATATCGTGCATCAAATCGTACTGAGAGAAAGTCACATCTTCCCATCCTTATTGTGCACGCCAAAAAATGTTTAAGAAAATGTGCATTATGATTTTCAGGGCTCACATTTGTGTTTAAACTGCTTAATTTGCCTGACTAAAGAGTACCAAAGCAGATATTCACATTGTAACAGAAAAGCAGCAAATCCTCAGACTTCTAAAACTGGTATGAGAAACTGTTTAAAAGCATGCTTGATAAATTTTCATCACTCAGAGCAGAAACATCAGTTTGGAATATAAAATGATAATGCTGTTTTCAAGTGAAGTGCTCAGAGAGGGAATCCCCAGTACCAAAGTGTTGTTGGTACATTTCAACATTCAACTATGGAATTCCTTTAGACTGAGGTCCCGAATCATACAGAGTAAACATTACCGACTGCAGAGGCAGACACTCAACATTATAAAACAACAAATGCACAAATGACCTGACAGGTACTGTGGTATTTCTTGCACCAGACATCTTTCTACTGTGAGGTAACTGCAGTTTAAAAAAAACAAACAAAACAAACAAAACAAAAAAAAACCAAGCAGCTACAAAGTTACACAGTCACCTCTCTCTTCACTGAGGTAGTAAATAAGCAGAAATATCATTAAGGGCAAGTACAGAAAACAAGGGGCCTCATTCCCCAATACCTTCTGAATGTGTTTTTCTTAAATTTGTTCCTAAAGACCTAAGAAAAGTCTAAATCTGATTCATGATCATGGTCTTAAATTGTATAACTGTTTGCACTTGTGCTCTCACAATGTCTTTGTAGCTTAAAAGCGCATTCCAGTCATTCATATTTAGCACAGGTAAATGCCCCACCAGTCCTCATAAAAAGGCATGAGACTGCAGGGCCATGTACACAGACAGGAATATAAAACACACAAACTGAAAGAAATGTTTGAAAAGTCAGAAATAATAAAACAAAAATCTAAATAAGATGAACTCCACATCAAAGAAAAACTTTAATTCTGAAATGGAGAACAGTAAATGAGCTGTCATATTTAGTGGTGTCAGTAGTGGATATAAAATAAAACAAAAAAAGATGACTGGAGATGCCCTTACTCATTCAGTGGATGCTGTATAAAGAGATTAATGCACAATGGATAAAGTTTAAAAAACAATGATCTCAAATCTGAGGCAAAAAACAAACAGAAGAGAGACACATTGAGGTCAAAGTTGGTGTTGTACTGGGCTACATTATATTTAGAGGTGTTCCTAACATTATAACCCTCTCATGTATGCAGCTGGGGAGGACAAAAATAGAGACACCTCTGAATATAATATGGTCCAGTATAACACCACCTCTATGACCTTATTAATAAACATATAATTGAATGTACACATTTATGACAATGTCACCAACAACTGAGACGTTTTGAGCTTCATAAACACAGATATTAAGATGGAAGTGTTGCATTTAATTGCATACAATTGTAAAGGTGTACCTAATAAAGTGGCCGGTGAATGTATGACAATATAGAGGTAGGTTTCAGTCAATTATAATGTCAATGTTAATAGATAGAGCTTAGATTAATAAAATCTACATTTATAGTTTTAATCTAATGGTACAAGAGCCAAAATAACTAGAAACAAGTACAAACAATAACAGAAACCCACAGTTATACATGTTTGAGGTACAGATCAAATTAATCCTTTCTAAAATTATCATAAGTGCTTAAACCCTGTCAAGAATTTAGACACTTTGAGAGAGGCACTGCAGTAGCATTTTAAGACACTGTTGCAAGACTCTGAGGCTTGTTACAATACTAGTCAACATACAGTTCATGAAATTAAGGCAGAAGAGAGAATCATCTCTTTCTCTCTCTCTCTAAATATCTAAATCAACTGCTCTTTTTCTAGACCTCCCAAGCCTATAGAGCAAAGACATGGCGAGGATCACAGGGATCAAGTTTTAGTCCCAAGTCCATCAGAAACACTTGCGATCTAACATCACAACCTTGGAAAACTGGGTGTCAATAACAATGACACTGCAGAAGACAGGAAACAGGACGAAGTACTCTGAAGGCCTCCACAGTATTTATAGTGGATTCTCTTAAAGAAAGAAAAAAAAAAGTTTGAAATTCATATCAAGTAGGTAAATTTTGACAGCATGCTCAGATCCAGTGGTAGGTGGAAAAGAACAAAACAAGTAAGAGGGTGAAATTTGAGACTTCTTTTTGCCTAAAGAAGAACCCTCTTTTGTCATTGTAACGCATACAATGAAATTTTGTTTGGAGCCAAGGGCTCCGGGCTGCTGCATGCCATTGCGTGTCACCATCATGGGCAACTTGGGGGTTCAGTGTTTTGCCCAAGGACACTTCGACACGTGGACTTCAGGCACCATGATTCGAACCTTCCACCTTCCGGTTGGGAGACAACTACTCTACAAACTACACCACTGTCGCCCCATTGCACTAAATTACAATGCCCTTCATACAGTAAGTGCCCCACGTCACCAAGGTTGCCACCTTTTACTGTAAAAATAGAAGAGAGGGCTGGATGACCTCTGCTTCAGATACAAACAGTTCAACTTATTGCAAAATGCTTTTGTTTCTTGGTAGGGCACAAGGTGTGAACCTAGATATTAACTTTAAAATTATGTTGAGCATTAATATTGTATATTTTTGGTTTTTAACACTTTGAGAAATGGTCTGCGGTGAGCTTACTTCTACAGTGCAGGCAGTAGGAACTTGCATCAGACAATGAGATTCAGACATATTGATACTCACATGCTTACACAGTACTTTAAGTAGTACACTGTAGTGGTTCATACATGAAAAGACCCGTCTGTATGCATACCCAGTGCTGTAGTTAATTACACAACTGTTTATTACATAATTAACAAATGTGTAATTAATGCTACACAACTGGGTGCCTTGTTAAGTGTGCACACTGGCTCCTCTGAGAGGTTCTCCTACTTATGGTTATCCATAACACCCTTCTCTGCATAGCTCTGTAGATATGTTTATGTCTACCTTAAGAGAAGCGTGACTTCACAAGTGTCACAGTTCAGGAACACAGATACCCACTCACTCAACTAGTTCTACAAAATATTTTGGTACTTTACACCCACCATAAATACTCCCCCCACCCCCAACTGTGGGTTTTGTGAGACTGCTATAAGAGCTCATTTATATCATGACTAGGTAAAGAATATGTGCTTTTATGTATTTTAAGGGACCGCAACAACCCTGAGATCAGTGACTCAGGTTAGCACAGTATGTCAGTCAGCAACTATACATTTCTGAGTTGGGCTTTAATGATAATACACCTACTGCACTGCTCTCTTGATGTTTCTGACCTTTTGTGCCAGAACATTTGCAACAAAAACTATGTAATGTTGGATGACTGGATTGGGGTCTCTTTACTGCATATTTCAGAGAATTGACCACCTGATATATATAGATGGTGCTGCTGATTTAGCATTTTTAATTTCTTTCTTTTTTGGCTTATACTCATTAAATGTAACTGAGTACAACTTATACCAGCTATTCTCACTCTGCAAGGCTGTTTAAGCTCCAGCAAACTAAAATAACAAAACATTTTCTTAAACATCATACATAACTGGATAAAATATTTCCTCACAATGTAGTGTTTTCAAGATAACCTAAAACTGGATGACTCAACATCTTCAGCACCTGTGACAAGTAAATTAAGTGCATCCACTGTTCGTAACAATAAGAGGTACTCTGTTGAGAGACCATCTACATTTCCTCAAATGCTCAAGCTTCCTTTGTAAATTATGAGGTAATACTGAGAAGGTGATTTGTTGTGCTCAACAAAAACCTAAAATTAGTATCATTATACAGGCTAAAAGTATACATTTGTTTTACAATAAACATTATATTTTTATGTTTTAATCTTTTTTATGAAAAATCCATAAGAATGTTTAAAGGCAACATTCTGTGGGGATAGAGCTTCTTACTGCTGAAAGGCCTGGTAGTAGTGAGGTAGGGAACTGGACATGCTCATAGCAGGACCACTGTATGGCTGAGGTAGTTGGCTGTGGGCACTGGGGCCCTGGGATACATGAGCCTGGGTAGGCTGGAAGAAGGTGAAAGGCCCTGGAGCCTGGGAGGGCAGCCCAGTGGAGGAGGACGAAGAGGAAGTAGTGTTAGTAGCAGGTTGACAGCTCATCACCAATCCTCCCATCCCCATGTGAGTGCTGAAGGGTGGCAGGCTGAATGGCAAAAAGCCTAACAGAGGCCCAAGATCCATGTTTGTGGAGCAGGACAGCTCAGCTGAGGTGGCAGCAGGGCTCCTGCAAAGCAGGTGTGTGTCAATGCCAGCACATACCCCTTCACCCAGCACCTCCCTCTGAGGGGAGCCAGAAGCAGAGGTAGACGAGTTGACAGCATTCATGTGGGGTGGAGGGACACTTTGCAGGTCCAGCAGGAAACTGTCCACATCAACACGAGGATATGAGGTAGAGCTATGCTGGTACCTGTCCATGTTACTATAGGGCTGCTGCTGTGGAGCCACTGGGGGCTGGAGGTTATGGTGGTGGGGGTGAGAAGACATGTGCTGACCAACACATATGCTTGAAGGCAAAGAGCCCTGCATGAGACCACGAGGGTGGCCCATCCCAGGGACAGGACTGGCCATGGGGTAGGAGTTGTACATGTCCCTTGATAAAGTCTCCACTGGTTCCTTGGAAACAGAACCCATATCAGAGGTCACAGGACTGGGTTCCTCCTTCACTAGGCACTGAGTGGCAGAGGTTGGTGTAGCCACAGGAATATTTGGAGTACAGGGTGACATCAATCCTGAGTCCTGGGCATGGCTCTTCTTCAAATGGCGGGTCAGGTGATCCCTGCGGCCAAAGCGTTGTGCACATTGTGGACACAGGAAGTCACGGCGCCCTGTGTGCACCACACTGTGACGTCGTACATCCTTACGAGTGTAAAAACGGCGGTCACATCGTTCACATGAGTATTTCCTCTCTCTCACTGGCACAGTAGTGTTAGTGTTGCTCTCTAGTGGTGGAGGCCTGTCAATGTGGCCGCCAAACTGCTCAAGTAATGAAACTGCTCCTTCTGGGCAGGGCTGGCCTGTTGCAGCAGTGTGGGCTGCCACTAGGTGGCGTCTATAACCTAGCTGGGTGTTGTACTGCTTCCCACACTCCTGGCAGTGAAAGCGCTGCCTGCTGGCTGGTTGGGTTTCTTGCAGCTGCCTCTTCAGATGATTCTGGTGGTGGAACATTGTCTAATAATGGAACGAACAGAACTAACTTAAGGACCCTGGCCAAGAGACTGAGCAGACACAGACAAGACTCACGAGGATTCTCAGTCTACAGTCATTTTACTGACTTCAAGTGCTAGAATTAATGCGAAGTGCTCTTTGTTGACTGTTTGCTGGTCTCTTGAAGCAATGACTAGTGGCCTGTCCTGCCTTACTGAGGCAAGCTTGTGTCCAGAGCAGCTGCCACTTTGGTCAATCTGTTGGCTGTTGTAAAGTGCTATACAAATAAATGCTGGCTTGACTTGACATAGCAGCCCACAATGGGCCGTTGTGATGAGGAGATGTGGAAGCGATGACTCGGTCTGTGTGTTTCCTTAGAAGAGGTTTTCTGTTGGCCTGTAGTCTATTTTAGTATTCAGCAGCACTGAATGCCACAGTCATAGTGGCTGACTCACAGAGGAGGCCCTCTATCTTTGCAGACCTGCAAAACAGAAAATAGTGTCACTGTGAAAATGATATAGCACTGGATGCAATGAATTTAAGAGTACACCATAATTCATTTATTATAGTCCATGTAATACAAATAATTATTTATTTTCTCTATATCTTTTAGGTACTGGCCATTTCCTCAAGCGTTTCAAAAGAAAACTTTTTGAATTCTGATCCATTTCTACTGTCAAATCATTTTATTTATCAATATCAATAATCACAAATTAGCCTCAAAGAGCTTTACAATCAGTACAACTTCTGTCCTTAGACCCTTGACTCAGATATGGAAAATTTCAGCAAAAACTGCTCTATGGTGCAGAAAAATTGTCACAGCTTTTCCCTTGTATTCTTTAATACACCGTATCTACACCTACACTTTGCTTTTAAAACCAACCAGGCTGAACAGAATCAAGGATGAACCAACAAAGCACAGAGGGAAATGAGGAGAATATATGAGCTGAAGACCAGACGATCATGAGCCACAGGTGGAAACAATGAGTAGTGATAATGAACTGTAGTAAAACTGGGGCAGGTGAGGTGACAGAGTAGGAAGTCTGACCAAAATAAAAACACAAAAACAGGAAGCAATTCCAAAACCATAATAGAATGACTACAGACCTGTTGCCCAGGCAATCTGTAGTTATGAAGTCCTTTGAGAGACTGGTGCTGGCCCACTTGAAGGACATCAGAGACCAGCTGCTAGATGCCCTGCAGTTTGCCTACTAGGCAAACAGGACGATGCAGTCAACATGGCACTGCATTACATCCTGCAACACCTCGACTCCCCAGGGACCTATGCATGGGTCCTCTTTGTGGACTTCAGCACGGCGTTCAAAACCATCACCCTGGAATCCTTCACTCTAAACTGACCCAGTGCTAAACTGACCCAGCTCACTGTGCCTGCCCCCACCTGTCAGTCGATCACCAGCTTTCTGACAGACAGGAAGCAGCAGGTGAGGCTGGGAAAAACCCACATCCAGCATCTAGACTACTAGCACAGGCGCCCGCCAGGGACGTGTGCTCTCCCCACTGCTCTTCTCCTTCCACACCAACAGAGGGGACCCCTCTGTTAAACTCCTGAGGTTCATAGACAATACAACGGTCATCAGCCTCATCCAAGATGAAGTTGTCCTACAGATGGGAGGTTGAACAGCTGGCCCTGTGGTGTGGTTGCAGCAACCTGGAGCTGAATATGCTGAAAACTGTGGAGATGACAGTGGATTTCAGGAAGAGCCTCCCACTATACTCAGCAGCACTGTATCAGCAGTAAAGTCCTACAAGTTCCTGGGCTCCACTATCTCCCAGATCTTGAAGTGGTCGCCCAACATCAGCACCATCATCAAAAAGGCACAGCAGAGGATGTACTTCCTGCGCCTTCTCAGGAAGTTCAACTAGCCCCAGGAGCTGCTGATACAGTTCTACAGAGGAATCACTGAGTTTGTTCTCTGCTCTTCCATCACTGTCTGGTTTGGCTCAGCAACCAAACAGGACAGGAACAGACTTCAGCTGACAGTCAGAACTATAGAAGGAATCATTGGTGCCAGCCTGCCCTCCATGGAGGACCTGTACACCTCAAGGGTCAAAAGGAGGGCAGAGAAGATTTCTGCACAACCCTCACACCCTGGACATAGTTTGAACTCCTCCCCTCTGAATGGCACTACAGGTCACTGTACAACAAAACAACCAGGCACATGGACAGTCTCTTCCTCCAGGCCATCACACTGATGAACACTTAACCCATGACTGCATAGCAGAAAGACAACCTTCACTGCAATACCTTGTAAACATACTTTTGTATATATGTGAAAAATTCCATCTAAACTGTGTGTAAGTACTTTATTTCCCTAATGCACATTCCTTTTTCTTGTTTGCACATTCTTTTTTGTTTTCTGTCTTGTTCACTTGCCTTACAGAAGAACATTGTACATACACATTGAGAGCCACTGTAGTGGAGTCAAATTCCTCATGAGACCGACAAGCCTGGCCAATAAAGCTGATTCTGATTCATTTTCAATGTAGGACTTTTACTTGTAACAGAATCGGCTACTTTTACAGAGTGACACTAGCACTTATAAGTAAAAGTTGTGAAAACTTACTCTACTTCTGGTGTTAACATGCTTTACTTATATAGCAAGTTATGGTTACAGTATATGCTTTTTTAAAATCATGTTTACAATTCTGTTTATTCTTTAGGGTCAATCTAGTGCTGCAATCCACCTCCATCAACTGTTACAGTCACTTACAATGAAAAAGTTCCTTTTGTTTTCATTCCCTTAAAGGGTTGTTGTAGCTGAAAATAACAGTAATTATGCAATTCTGTATAATAATACCATGATATTTTGTGAGATGGTTATCATACTGAGTAGCTTAACTCAAATTGTGCCCCGGTGCGATTTTTTTCTGTGGCCCACCCTGTCCCAAATACACACACATGCATGCATGCACGAACACACACACACACACACACACACACACACACACAACCACTCCAGACCAACACACAGAGAGGCATATACCATGATATTTTGTGAGATGGTTATCATACTGAGTAGCTTAACTCAAATTGTGCCCCGGTGCGATTTTTTTCTGTGGCCCACCCTGTCCCAAATACACACACATGCATGCATGCACGAACACACACACACACACACACACACACACACACACAACCACTCCAGACAATTGCACAGAGAGGCTTATCATGCAAGTCCCATCATGAAAACCAGCCAGTGATCAGCACCACAGACAGTGGCTAATCAAGGCCAACCCTGGATTCTAACCACCACAGCCAAATTTATCCAGTTACCAAACATCTGAAATATTAAGCCAGTCTACATTAACAAATCAGCACAAAGGTAGAAAGGTATTGTACACTGTATGTCAATAGATATAGAACAAATAGCCATCAAGAAGAGCACAGCAACTAATTGTGAATCAACACAGTATGAGAATAGGATTCAACATAAATAATGGCATCGGTGGCCAAAACGTTATCACAGACAGATTACAGTAAGTGCACATTTTCCAACATAGTGTAAATTTAAATCCCTGATCCCAACCCTTAACAAAGCGAAGCCTATGGAGGGCCTCCTGCAATTAATGCAGCTATCAAAACCCTTCCCACATGAGCCCTTGAGACCCGCTGGGCCCTGGTGCACTGCACCGGCTGCACTATTGATAGTTACAGCACCAGCTGCAACCCTGATTCACATATAGATATGGAGTAGTAGTCAGTATTGGCCCCATAATGAATCTGTAGTTCTGAGAGTAAGTTGTCTGTTATTCTTTCACTCATATCAATAATTTAAGATAATCAACTTAATATGATGGAATCAGGACCTGATCAAGAAGCCTGAAAAATACAGTGTGGGAGATTAATTTCAAATTTCAATATGTCACCGATATTTCATGAACATTTACTCTAGGTAAATGTAAGTAGTTTAGCAGCATCTGATGTTCTCTATGTTATTCTACAAAAGAAAAAGCAGTAGAAACCTTGATGAATGGATTTGATGCGGACTTTGAATCTAGAGTAAGGTGATGAGAGCTGGTAGTGCCATCTTGTGGTTCCTCAGCATGGGGATATGGGGATGCCATTGACGTTAAGCTTTAATTGCCTGCCTGCCCCCCGGCCCCCCCGGGGGGAAAGACACTTTTCCTGCATCATCTCTCTCCCTTGTTGAGCCAACTGTGAATATGCTTGTCTGTTGGAACTAAATAAAACGGGGATGAGAGTGTGCCTGAAATGGCGAAACCTGAAGTTGAAGACACTGGCGAGACAAGGTCATTATCTGACCGGTATTGTGTCGAAATGTTCCCCCCATAGAGTGCTAGCCTGGCTACATCTACAAAATACAGCATCGGATGTGAATTTGGGCTTAGTGTTTGGAGATTTGCATGTCTCCTAGGCTGGCTTCATATCGAGGAAACCTACCGAGTGGTGTTAGTGGGTTTGTGAGTAGAGTATCTTAAAAAGACGAGTGGTTCAGTAAGTTGTATCGGAGTTTACCTTGCAGCTAACTAAACATTCTATGGAACTTGGTCCAACTCGGGTGAACACACACGGACACAACACTACCCACCGGTCGTACCTCGGTCCAGCTTTTCGTCCAGTCTGCATTCCGTCTCCAGATCGACATTTTGGAACATGTTCTAGACAAGTTTATTTCAGTCCCTGCCACTGCGGTCAAGCCAGCCTCCACTTCGAAAAACACAATCGAGCCAGCCGCCCCAGTATTTTGCGTGTGGTCTATATGCAGCATATTACGGTAAAGCCGTGGAAGAACTAATTTCAAAATAAAAGCAAACTTCCCTGCTATCAGGAACGTGATTTCACCTTCATTCAGTCACTAGTGTGTCTGTCAAAAGTAAATGAAATAGTAAATAAAAAACGGCAAATACATAAAATACATAACAATACAATAACTAAATCAGTTTAAATAAATATTAAATAATAAAGCTGTCTTAATGTTAAATTCAGATTGATATTAAGAAGAAACTCTTTTCACAGGGCCATTTCACATCTGATGGATAGCAGACCACCTGGGAGTGTGCCATAGGAGATATCAGGGCATTCTGATGAGTACTTTCAAAATCAAAGCCCCCTAAAATGTCATACAAACTCTACATTAATTCCAAGTTCGGATTGATATTAAATTAAAACTTAAGTATAGATTGACATTAGAAGGACACTTTCTGTTTCAGTGACTTATAATTTCACTTCACACTGATGTAGAGGCTTAGCAGATGGCAGTTTGGTGCTATCTCCACAACTTGGAGCTGATCCCATTTAGACAGTGGAGATGACATTAGACTTGCAGAATAACAATCCACCCCCTTTGCATCTTTTTCTTGCATCTTAGTCCTGGCCACATAACAGGCAAGGAAAAGATACAAGGAGAAACTGCTTGGAGAAAGGAACCAAGGAAAATGATATAACTGGGTTATATATGAGAAGGCCTTTCCTCCAATACTTTATGTGAAATGTCCAATCACAAGCTGGTTTCCAATAAAGGAGCAGGGCATTTAATAACAGACTTCCATGAAGGAAGCATGTGTGTATCATTGAATATAGCTCCTCCAGGCAGCCTCTTCATACCTCAGTCCTTGCTCCTTGTAGCAGAAATAAGAGCTTTGGGATGTCCATCATAACGAACAAGAACAATTTTAAAAAGAAGCAACTTTATTTATTGTCACACGTACAACGAAATTATGCTCGGAGCCAAGGGGCCCAGGCCACTGTGTGTATACGCACTACCATCAAGGGTAACCAGGGGGATTCAGTGTCTTACCCAAGGACACTTTGGCACACGGAGTGCAGGCACTGAGGTTTGAACCTTCAACCTTCTGGTTGGAAAGTGACTGCTCTACCCACTGCACTACTGTCGATTCTCCCCAATTTCCAGTTGAGTGAGGACTGATGACTGAGGAACAATAAATTAAGGGAATTGTCATGGAGTTCTTCAAGTTCCTATGATGCACTGTCTCTCAAGACCGAAAATGGGGAGACTGTCATGACCTGTCCTGGACATCCTGTTTGAGGCTTTTATTTTTTGAAGACTTCCTGTCTTGCACCATGACATCTGCCCCAGCTTTACTCAACTCAGTCAGCAGCTGATTGGTTTCACCTGTGCCTTGGTAGTATGCCTATTTATCATGCCCTGTTTTGTTTTGTAATTGTTGGATAGGCCTTTGTTGTTTGCAGATCTATCTATCTATCTATTGTTCTTATTAAACAGCCCCTGTTTATCTGCCTATTGCCTGCTTCTGGTTTCTACCTCTGCTTTTTGTGGATATCGTTTGATCATAAGTGTTTGTGCCCTGCATCTGGATAGTTGTATTCTGTTAATGTTTAAAGGACTGCTTATTGACCCTTTTTTGTGAGGCTTTTCTCTCTGTTTTACTGAGCTCAGTATTGAGAGGATTTTTATCTTTGAACTCACTAATCCATTCACTAAGGAACTCAGAAGATCTCCAGTGTAAGCTGGCCTACTTCTTCACTTTCTTTATTTTCTAGCTCTGAAGTCTGTAGATAAAAATAAATATACTTGCCTATCTTGTCCTTTTTTTAAAAATTCTGTCTTGGGCTGAGAGGTTCATGCCTGCTTAACTGAATTAGCCACAATCTATACCTGTATACTAACCGGCCTCACTTGTCACCTCTGGATCTGAATACTTGCCTGGTGTCCCATCCTTTCTTCCAAAGACCCAGACCTACTTATCTGTTCTACTGTTTTCAGCATCTTCTGAGTGCCTCCAACACAATCCTGTGGACACTCCCATCAAATTTCTAATGTTTACTGGTCTCAAGAAAAGGCCTCACATTTGGCTCCAAGAGATTAAACCGTGGTTGAGCATCCTTGTCCTGTTGCATCATAGATCTGCAGTAGCCTATTGTCATCACTCTCAGCCCCAGAGTGGCTTTGTCCATCTCCACATCCCACAGTTAAACCTTTAACTAGTTTTGCCTTTGTCTGTCATGTTTTTGGGTCCAAATTAACACACAGCCCTGACTGAGACTTACATGGACTCTGTGAAAACTCATCTCTGATCAGTTGTGTACTACCTATTGTTAAATAATTTAGCTGTGCAATATAAATATAATTGGCTCAGATGTGTAAGACTAGAAGACAGCTGTCCCTGGTAGGCTAGTGGTTAAGGCGCAGTGCCCTCGCTGCTGCGACCCAGGTTTGAGTCAGGGTTGCGTCAGGAAGGGCATCCGGAATAAAACACATGCCAAATGTCAACATGCAAGTCGTCAGTGTGACGATTTGCTGTGGTGACCCCTAAATGGGAAAAAGCTGAAGGTGACTTTCTTTTTATGTAAGACTAGAAGATACAATTCCAACTTCTGTAGGCCCTGCGCTTGCACCAGGGGTATGTTTGTTCTTTTTCAATTGTCAATCCTACTTCATATCACAGGAATCTCTTTACTCTTTCAGTGGTCCCAGTGGGTGGGATTTATGTAGATTATTTTTTTTTGGCTTTCCTTTTATAATGAGGAAAAAAACAGTGTTATACACTCTCCTATAACCAGGCTTCCCCAGTCAACCAAAAGGCCCACAGCAAGATTTTATGTTTACACTAAAAATAAAATTGTATTATCTACCAAATCTGTGTGCCAATCAACCATCAACTTTGTTTGGATGATGTTGAGCATAGTGAGGGTTGGATGGGGGGTGGGGGTGTGGGTTGTGATTCTTGAAGACTGATGTCATCTCCACTGTCTTGAACAAGTTGAGCTCCACCAGACTGCCATTTACTAAGCCTCTGCATTATTCAGATGTGAAATGATTCATCCGTGAAAGCAAGAAGTCTCCTTCCAATATCATCCTGTACTTGTATGACATTTTAGGGGGCTTTAATTTTAGAATTCTACATCATAACACCCTGATAATTTCCTGTGGCACACTCTGAGGTGGTCTGGTATCATTCATATGTTAAATGGTATTCTGAAAAGTTTCCTCCTAATACTCTTCTGAATTTAACATTAAGATAGCTTTAATATCAGGGGCATTGCTAGACTGGGGCACAGGGCCCCCATCACTAAAATCACACAGTTATTTTTCTTGAATGTCTGCTGCATCGATGAAATGTGCTATCCATTGTACTTTTTGATAAAGCTTATAGTTAGGGCAGGCTCAGGTGACCCTGAGACTTTCCTTAGTTATGCTGCTATAAGCCTAGGCTGCTGGGGGGCCCCATGATGCTCTGAGTTCCTCACCTCTCCTCTCTCTCCATGCATCTATATGCCACCATCCCATGTCACTAACTGTGTGTCTCCTCTCTCCCGTAGTGTGTCCTCTCTCTCCCTGTACCTTTCTGCATGTGTCCCTGGCTCTGGAGCTCTATGTTTCTGATGAGCAGTCACCAGCCACATCAACCTGCCCAGTGTTTGATTGTTTGTTGTTGTTTTTGTTGTGTCTTGTTGCTTTTCTTTTCTTTTCTCTCTCCTCTATCTACTCACCCCAACCGGTTGAGGCAGAAGGCTGCCCACCAAGAACTGGGGTCTGTCAGACGTTTCTTCCATTAAAGGGAGTTTTTTCTCCCTGCTGTTGCCAAGTGCATGGTCAAGGGGGGGTTGATGGGTTTTTCCTCTATAATATTAATAGTAAGGTCCAGACCTCACTTTGTAAAGTGTCCTGAAACAACTTTTGTTGTGATTTGGCAATATACATGTAAAATTGAATTGAACTAAATTTTCCATACATCAAATCAGAGGAGCTGGCCTCTGTCACTATTTCAAGTTCACATAGCTCCTCTCTGCCAACCACACACCCAGAAAAAACATATTATATAAGCAAATTGTTAGTAGTCCTCAAACATTTTGTTCATACAACCTTAACCACTTAGCTGGCACATCACTAAAACTAAAAATAAAAACTCCAGGATAATGACCATACTCTGTTCTTTATACCTGCATGTGGCTATGATCCTTTCCAGCAATTGAGGATGTCAGCAGATATCAGAAAAACCACATATTTAACTTCACACATCATATCAAGTCATCTACTTGTCTGTCTCTCACCTGCGTCGAATCGTATTTTCCAGTCTTTGTTGTTGAAGTTTGTGTTGATGAGGGTCCAGAAGATGTCAGCCCCGTGGGATAAAGAGAGAGCATGAAGGAGCTGCGATGAAATGTGCTATCCATTGTACTTTTTGATAAAGCTTATAGTTAGGGCAGGCTCAGGTGACCCTGAGACTTTCCTTAGTTATGCTGCTATAAGCCTAGGCTGCTGGGGGGCCCCATGATGCTCTGCATCCCCCCCTCCTCTCCTCTCCATGCATCTATATTCCACCATTGCACATCATTAATTTTGTCTCCTTTCTCCTGTAGTGTGTCCTTTCTCTCTCCCTGTACCTTTCTGCAGATAGCCCTGGCTCTGGAGCTCTATGTTTCTGATGAGCAGTCACTGGCCACATCAACCTGACCAGTGTTTGATTGTTATCTTTTCTTTTCTCTCCCTGCTATCAATTCACTCCAACCTGTTGAGGCAGAAGGCTGCCCACCAAGAGTCGAGTTCTGTCGGAGGTTTCTTCTGTTAAAGGGAATTTTTCCTTGCCATTGTCGCCAGGTGTTTGCTCAAGGAGGATTTGTTGGGGTTTTCCTCTATAATAATAATAGTAAGGTACCTTACTTTGTAAAGTGTCCTGAGATTGCTTTTGTTGTGATTTGGTGCTATACAAATAAAACTGAATTGAATTGAATTGAATTATTTGAACTTCTCTTGCCT